GGTGAGTGGCCAGGGGTAAAACCGTCGTGCATCCGCCCGTCCTAGAAGATCGAAAGTTCCGCCTCGCCCTCCTGTGCCTTTTGCCCCAAGTCTCCCTGCACGACAAGTCCGAACGATTTCTTTTTCCCGTCTCTCCACGTTTCAAATAAATTCCCTAGAACATGCCCTCACCGCCAAACCCCTCCGACTCTTCTTCTCTCCGCTCAACCTCGTCTTCTTCTTCTTCGTCCTCACATACCAACGTCTCCAACCGACTGACTCAGATCAGGAATCACACCATGGGTTCTGCGTCAACCGATACCCCGCCGACCCTGTTCGACGCCAATGTCGTCCCCCAAGCTCCTGAGGACCCTTTGTTCGGGTTGATGGCAGCTTACCGAAAAGACAACTTCGAGAAGAAGGTAGATCTGGGCATCGGCGCATACAGAGACAACAATGCCAAACCCTGGGTGTTGCCTGTAGTCAAGAAGGTGTGCCCATCCATGATACTCGACGGTGTTGTCGATACCATGCTCCCAGGTGGCTAACCCCAGTCCAGGCCGATGAGATCCTACGAAATGATCCCAACCTCAACCACGAATACCTCCCTATCGCAGGTCTTCCAGAGTTCACTTCAGCGGCACAGAAACTCATTCTTGGTGGAGATAGCCCCGCGATTCGAGAAGGACGGGTACGCAGTCATACAAATTCTCACGTCTTTACTTTCCCTTGTGCTGACATGTAATCTCTACTTTACAGGCCTGCAGCCTCCAGACCATCTCAGGAACCGGTGCCGTCCATCTCGGTGGCCTCTTCCTTTCCAAATTCCTACCGAAACCGACCCCCGCCATCTACCTATCCAACCCGACATGGGCCAACCACAACCAAATCTTCACCAACGTCCAACTCCCAATCAAGTCCTACCCTTATTTCTCTGCAAAGACAAAGATGCTTGACTGTGACGGCCTGCTCTCGACCTTGAAATCCGCACCTGAAAGAAGCATCATTCTGCTGCACGCCTGCGCACACAACCCCACAGGTGTCGACCCGACGCCGGACCAATGGAAACAGATTGCCGAAGTCATGCGCGAACGCAAACTATTCCCCTTCTTCGACTGCGCATACCAGGGTTTCGCCTCTGGGGATCTGGCACAGGATAACTTTTCGATCCGTTATTTCGTGGAGCAGGGCTTCGAGTTGGTCATTGCTCAATCCTTTGCCAAGAACTTTGGTCTGTACGGTGAGAGAGCGGGTGCATTCCATTTCGTGGCAGCTCCTGGGGCCAACGCACAGGATGTGGCCAAACGTGTCTCGTCCCAACTTGCCATCCTGCAACGTTCAGAAATCTCGAATCCACCAGCCTATGGTGCACGTATTGCTTCCCTCATCCTGAATGACCCACAGCTTTTCAAAGAGTGGGAGGCCGATCTGCGTACCATGTCCGGACGTATCATCGAGATGAGAAAGTCCCTGAAAGCCGAACTTGACAGGCTAGGCACCCCCGGGACCTGGGACCACATCACGAGTCAGATCGGCATGTTCAGTTTCACGGGCATCACCGAGAAACAGGTGTTGGCAATCAGGGAGAAGTGGCACGTGTATATGACCAAGAACGGGCGGATTAGCATGGCTGGATTGAATACAGGCAACGTGCACTACTTTGCCGAGGCTCTCGACGACGTGGTGAGGAACGTGCAATGAAGTCAGTATGGTTGATGGTTGACCGTTGACGGACGACGTATGAGACGAGCTGGAATGGACATCAAGACTACGAGAAGATGCGGAAATGGATACCAGTCACGCTCTGTTAATACAAGATGGCTATTGAAGGAGGGGTGGGCAATGCAGGAGCAGGACAAAATACGAAACACAGGTGATCGATGCTTGAGCTTGCACAGGGAACATAAAGACGGCCAGTCAGTCATGGAGATGGGAGCTTTGGAAACTGGGGAGGTTGCATCCTGGTAATGTTTTCCTTCCATTCTCTTCCTCAAGTCAGAAGAACACAAAAGGCACAAGGCACAAGGCACAGAGGCACAAGGTCTGGACATTAGCATGCAAGTGTGGAAGAATAACGGGCGGCTTTGGAGGAGAGGGGGAGCCCACCAAGGGCCATAAAGAGTCACGCCGGTGCCTCTACCTCCCTCTCTGTCTTTCTGCCTCTGTCTCTGTGTTGGACCTCGACCGACGCCTCGGGTGTTCTTTCCTCTTTTGTCTTTTGTTTTCTTCTCTGCAAATGGATATGGATATGGGTTAAACTACCACAAACAAGCTACAGTTACAGCCACTGCTACAGCAACAGGGCGCACGGAAAGACCTCAATGCCAATGCACGCCCAGAAATAACAATGAGTGAGAGTGAGCGTGAATCGTACAACGTGCAACGTGCAACAACAACAACAAGAAACAAGGTGAAGGTGAAGGTGGATTCTCCATCTCTGGTCATGTTTGCTTGAGCATGCATACATTCATGCATGCTGCATATGCACGTTGTTTGTTTGACTGTTTGACTTCACGTTTGCTAGTTTGTTTGCTTGATATTTGCGTCTCTCTCACGCCCACTCCTACCCTCCACAGGAGGAAGCGGGCTCCCTGTTCCCCGTTTCGTACAGCTGCCTCTCTGTTTGCCTGCCCAATTGCCATTGCATTTCGTCATGCATTCAGAGACTGAGGACAGCATTTTCTTGGATCGGAGTGGACTGGACATTCTGGTTCGTATTTGGTCTCGTTTGTGTTCATTCATTCGTTGCTCTGTTGCCGAAAAGGAGGCAAGGGATACCCAAAACTACGCCTTACACACACACACACACCCCATCCTTACCGGCCCCCCTTTCCAACCCTTTCTGTCCTTGCGATAAGGCTTACAGCCGTGACCAGTTTGACTCAAGATCCAACATGCAATGATCCCTTCCTCGCTTTTCCGGAGTGAAGGCCCAGCAAACGCCGCTCCGCCTTCGGACAACGGTCACTAAAAGCTCAAAGATGGGAATCGAAAATCATGGCCCAGGCCGTCACGCCCCCGGCATTCTCGCCTTGAGCGGGCCATCCTAGAGCGTCAACACGGCCCTTGCCCACGACGATCTCCTCGACGACCCGGAATCCGAAACGCTCGTACAGCCGCACGGCTTGCGGCGTCGTGGCTTCTAGCCATGCAGGCACGCCTTCGGCCTTGGCGCGCTCCAGGAACGGGGTCATGACGGCGTTGATGCTGCCCGGGACGCGGGGCCTTGCAGGGTTCCGCGCCAGGAATGAGAGGTGGTAGAAAGGGCGGAGTGGCTGGTCTTGGCTATCCTGGGCGTGTTGGTGGTCGGAGCTAGAGTCCTCAGACACTGAGCCTGACGGTGTGTTTGAGGTCGATTCCTCCGGGTTTGCGGCTGCAGAGCTGCTAGAAGAAGAGGACGAGGGTGCCGCTAAATATGTCTGCTTCGCCGACTTGACTCGGGCTCTCCATTCGCTCAGCAGCGGGCCCGGTTGCGCCTTGGAGTCTATGAACGGTTTGCCCTGGTACGTGGGCGTCTCCCACAACGCAATGGCAGACCAGTCCCCGGCTTGGACCAGCTCAGCCCCGGAAGCGGCACTCTCGAGGATCCCCCGCGAGAAATGTCTCTGTCGTCGAGCAGTGTCGATCAGTGGGGAAGGAAACGGTGGTGGTGTGCCGTCGATATCTACAATGAACGCTGTGGTCAGGGCGGTGCTGGAAAAAGCCGCCGTGATGATGGAAATGAAGTTGGAGACGTCGTCAGCATGTGAATCCGTGGCGATGGTGACGCAGGTTGGGGTCGAAGTTGAAGAAGACATGTCTTGAATCCACAGAATCGCGATTGCTCCGAATCTTGCAAAACGAATGATTCTTTTCTTCTCTACTCTACGAGATCTTCGTCTTCGTGAGCAGGCACACTTTGTTGTATTGTTCCCTTTGTTCCCTTTGTTCCCTCTGTTGGTTTTTGTTTCCGAAGGACTCCTGTGCGTAGTGGAATGTCTCGAGCAAGGGCAAAGGCAAGATCAAATCGTAAATCGTAGAGCAACCATAAGAATACAACACAAAGGTGGAACACGGGAATGACAGACTATTAAGGCAGAGCAGGAAATTTAGAGAACAGGAGGAGAAGAAGGGGGGGGAAGGAAACCTGTTGCGGTGAGATGAAGTATCACGAGGGACGACGTACAAGAGGAATGTTGTGTAAAAACAAAAGGCGGATGAGTCAAGGAAACGCCCCCCGTCCGGATGTTCAGTGTGTCCGATGCTAAGCGGCCAGGCGGGAATCCTCCTTTACCTCCCCTTCCAGCTTCCAGGGTCTGTTTTTTTTCCACTCTATTTCTCCCCTCTTCCCTATGGGAGGCGATTAGATGGTCATATGTAATATGTAATATGAGGTAAGGTACCTACCTAGGTAAAGCTGGGCTTTCCTTTGTGCTCCTGCCCGCCCTGTGACGAAGGACAAAGTGCGTACATGCGTGCGGCGGAACACTTCCACACTACCCAACGTGACATCGCGGTCGGGGTGGCTGATCGGGGTCTCTTCCAGAAGAGGTTTTGATATGGGGTAAGAGAAACCTGAATCATTGGTCCTTTAACAAAAGTGTTTTCTGTTCTGTTCTGAAAAAAGTTACAATTACGAGGACATTGGTTGGAAGAGCGGAAAGGGAGGAAAGAAAGGAGGGGGAACAGGAGTCACGAGGACTTAATATATTGATTTCCCTGAGACGGATGGTGAATGAAGGAATGTACGAGGTATGTGCCCTCGTTAAAGTCCCATGGATGGCTGCCAATAGACCCGAGTGAGCAGTGTCTAATGTAGCATTTGAGTTCGAGAGAGGCTGCAATTGCTTGAAAAAAGAACAGATACAAAGTACAACCATTTATACCGAGTACATCAACTATCCAACTCATTGGCCAGCAATGAACTACGCCATGCCCGCGCACGTATTCCTTTTCCTACCGAGAACCCTGAGACTTCCGAAAGACTTATCTGTTCCTGTTAGCTAGCGACCATGGTTTGAGACATCACGAAGTGAAGAACATCAGCCATTTGATGTACTTCTCCTTTTTGGCTTGTCGCTTTGCTCGCTCGGCTGCTCGCTCTGCGGCACGGGCTGAGGCTTGCTGGTCGCCATCTTGTCGAGTCTGGCGTCCTTGAGATTGGTAACCTCCTTCGGAATACGCACGGCGACGATTGCTATTGTTAGAACCATCCGCTCCTCGAGAGCCATCTTGGTGGTGTGAACGACGCTGCGAGTGCGACACCGGATCTTGCTGAGGTGCTTGTGATCCACGCTGCGAAGGTCGATGTTCAGAAGCTGGCCTGCTGCCTCTCTCACTGTGACGGCTTCCGGGACGCTGATCATATTGCGGCGCGTCTCTGCCTTGTCGATAAGCGGAAGGTGGATGTTGCGGGCGGCTCGGTCTGGTAGAATCTCTCACTAACCATTTCTTCCCGTTTTTATCAACGACCTTCCTGACTTGAGGTTTTTTGGCCTGTCCGCCTCCATGTGCGCGGTCATTTCCTCGGGGTGTTGTCTCCCGCCTCTCTTCGTAATAAGGCATTGTGGTAGACGAAATTGCACAAGCTGTACGTCCTTGAGGGCAATTTCTGATTGTTGTGTTTGAGATGCGTGTGCTTACCTGGCTTACCTGGAATCTGGCAGTTTGCTTTGATGGTTTGGTGCATATCAGCCACGATGGCAGGGCTCTCGACGCATTAGTAGTCGGAGGCCTTTCCCCCATCCAGAGGGAACAAAAACCCTTGTGCCTGGCAGCTATGTATAAACAGAACAAAGACTCCAGAGCAGCAGACAAGCGACAGGACAAGGGACGAAACATATTTTTATCACAAACCAGGGCTGTGGAGGACAACAAAGGCTGATTGATGAGCGTAGGAGTTGGTGGTTGTGGTGCTGGAAGACATCACGTCCTTCATTGTTCCAATCCATTTCGGCCTGAGGCTGCACCTCTCACAACAACAAGGCGATCTGTGACTTGATCGGAAGAGATCCGCAGATAGACATTGACAAATTGGCGATGTCAAGCAAATAATCAAAGACGTGATGAATCGTGGAGGACGAGGTATGTACTCCCGAGCGCAAATGAATAGCCAAGTGATCAACCGGACCATCAGACACGCAATCTCACAAACACCGATCACACCGAAATGAAACCCTCATACTCGTGTCTCGTGTCAGGACTCCCATTGAAAATTACTCCCTGCTTCTTCTGATAATTTTTGAACGGTTTTTGCACTGCCTTGGTGGCTTTGTGAGACCTTCAACGCCGTTCACTCCACAAGGTGAGCAGTTACCCCAGTACTTTATCAGGAGTAACGAGCCAGCTGGAAAATTCCATGTATTTCTGGCCCTGGATGCATTGGGGGGAACCACAGTGGATCACGGCCGCATGGAGCTGTTTCAGAGCTTGTATCAGACTCAAGCCAAATCAGCCATGGCGCAAGCCACAACAGTCTCCCATGCTCTTTTCGGGGCCAGTGTTCAAGTGCAGGCGGGCTTTTTGTTGGCGATGGCCGATGCGACGCAGTGTGATGACTGGGCCACTGACGAGTGGGCTTGAGGAGGCTTGAAAGGGGCTTGCATTTTTCGCCGAAAGGAATGGAGTGACTGGGGTGACTGGTTAGAAAAACTTTTTCTGCCCGTCAAATGAGGGCCACCGAAATTTCGGAATCTCACCCGTTTTCCCCAGTTCTTGACCAGGGGGCGCGTTTACGAAACAAAGGGCTTTCGTCATGCGACTCCAAGGGAGTACACAAATTTGAACGACAGAGGGAAAAAAAAACATTGTTTGACCGCATTGGTGGCGTGCAGTTGACTGCTGGGGGGATCCATGAAAAAAATACCTGGCTTGCTGGATGCGCAGGTACCGTTGCATCAATCGAGTAGAATTGAGTACACTCCATACATACATGCATTGCAATCCCCATCGATCCTCCGATTCACGATTCCTTCACTTTCTACCTCATACCTATCTTTCCATTACTTCAATCCCTGTCATTAATTGCACTCGCTTGACTGATTTTCGAGACTTGTTATTGAGTATTTGAGGGTGCTAGTCGTCCGTATCAACATCCTTGTCGATCTTGTACAAACACATCAATTTTTCTTATTCCTCCTTTCTCAGATCGCCCTCGCTTGTACCCCAGTTCGCTTCTTCTTGAAACTGGGTTCCGATCTCTAGCACTCGTCCGCTTCTCTCAGGTAGAGTACGCGTACAAGTCTGTTTGGGATCTTCATCGCTTCACCCGCAACACAAATACCCGACAAAATACTGCCGGTACTGTTGCCCACATTCTTTCACTTCCCCTTGGGCCCTCGAGTGACATAGCTTGGCGGCATGTCACAGAACAAGAGGTTTTCAAGAGAGGGGTTTCAACCTTTAACCCATCACCCATCACGGGACATGGCAAACCCTAACGACGTTACGATTGATATTCCCTTGACCAAGGTCAGCACCTCTGGTAGCGCCACTGGGGCACGCAAGGCCGATGCTCTTTCTCCTTCTGCTTCCCAGTACAACGGCGAATTTTCCGAAAAGATGGACGAGAAGCAAGGTCACCACTTTCACAGAGGCCCAGCAGGCAGGAGAAGAAGGTTGGAGGATCGAGGACGGCAGAGCCAGGCCAAAGAGGATGGCACGTTGAATGCATTTGGCAGATTCTACAAGCGAGTCTACAACTTCTCCGTCTTGACCCGCTATTTCATCTATGTTGCACCGCTCGCTTTGGCAATCGCAGTTCCCATCATTGTTGGGGCTACAGTCGCCCCTCGAGCACGCATCGGCGGCGTCAAGATCTTGTGGTTCTTCACCTGGATCGAGGTGGTCTGGGTATCACTATGGGCTTCGAAACTGGTGGCTCATTTCTTACCATTTCTCTTTCAGTTTATTTGCGGGGTGGCCAGCCCTGGCACAAGAAAATATGCCCTCGTCCTCAGCTCTCTCGAGATACCTCTCTCGCTCGTTGGCTGGGCCGTCACATCACTGGCAACGTTTGTCCCTATCATGACATTAAATCCTGACCAGAGATCACGTGGTGAGACTGGCCTCAAGTCTTGGGAGTCCATCATCAAGAATATTCTCTTTGCCTGCGTCTTCTCAACGTTGCTCTTGCTCGGCGAAAAGCTACTTATTCAGCTCCTTTCTATCAGCTATCACCGCAAGCAGTTCGATGAAAAGATTAAAGACTCGAAGCGAAACATCCACCTGGTTGGTTTGCTCTACGATGCTTCTCGAAAGCTCTTCCCGGAGTACTGTCGAGAATTCGCCGAAGAGGATTATCTCATCAACGATGTTCTGGACTTTGGGGAGCGACATAGCAATCGGAACAGCATCTTACCTGGTCACAAACGGTCTGGCTCGGCCACCCCAATGAAACTCATCCACAATGTCGCACGGGTTGGAGACAAGGTCACAGCAGCATTTGGGAATGTGGCCCAGGAGATTACTGGGAAGAAGGTTTTCAATCCCACTGCCTCGCATTCAATCGTGGTCCAAGCGCTCGAAAAGAAGCATTCCGCCGAAGCCTTGGCTCGGCGGCTTTGGATGTCGTTCGTCCTAGAAGGGAAGGATGCTCTGAGCCTGGAGGATATCATTGACGTCCTAGGTCACGATCGAGAACAAGAAGCCCACGAAGCCTTTGAGATCTTGGACGTGGATTGCAACGGAGACATCTCGCTAGATGAAATGGTCCTGCGAATCACCGAGTTCGGACGAGAGCGTCAGTCGATCGCGAGCAGCATGCACGATGTCGATCAAGCCATCAATGTCCTTGACAACCTGCTGTGCACAGTTGTCTTTGTCGCTGTTATCTTCATCTTCGTCGCCTGGCTGAATCGGAATTTTACCACCACACTCGCTACAGCAGGAACTGCCCTCCTGTCAATGTCTTTTGTTTTTGCAACAACCGCTCAGGAGGTTCTGGGGTCTTGCATTTTCCTTTTCGTGAAGCATCCATTCGACGTGGGCGACAGAGTCGACATTACCGATACCCAGTACGTGGTGGAACGCATGTCTCTTCTTTATACGGTCTTCCGCCGCGTCAAGGACCATAAACGGACCCAAGTCCCCAACATCGTGCTCAACTCGCTATGGATTGACAACGTGTCTCGCAGCAAAGCCATGCGCGAACAGATTCAGCTGTATGTCAGTTTCGACACCAAGTTTGAAGACATTGATCTGCTCAAGAAGGAGATGACCAACTTTGTGCGGGATAAAGATAATGCACGCGACTTCCAACCGGATGTCGACATTGAGGTTACCGGGGTTGCGGAAATGAACAAGATGGAGTTGAGGATTGAGATTCGGCATAAATCGAATTGGGCAAACGAGGCGGTACGAGCAGCGCGGAGGAACAAGTTTATGTGCGCTCTGGTCCTGGCCGTGCGGAAAGTTCCACTCTATGGTCCAGGGGGTGCCGGTCCTCCAGCTGGTGACAAGGCCAACCCTACCTACTCCGTGGCGATTAGTGACGAAATCGCGAGGAGGAACAGAAAGGAGTTTGACGAGAACCTGGATAAGAAGAGACTCGTACCCTTGCTGGACCAGAACAAGCCTCATCTCGACCTCTCCAAAACAAAATCTTCCGACCACCTCGGCGTCAGCACTGGAACCGACGTTAATGAAGCGTCGGCGGTTGACAACTTGGTAAAGCGCAAGGTGGCCGTCGACCCTGAAGAGGTTGTCGACCATGAGCGAGAACTCCGGATGGACAAGAAACGTTCCAACGACGTTGAAGAAGTACGCGACATTCTCAGACGCGAGTCTACCAGGGGTCGACGTCGGGCGGCTCGCCACAGCGGTCTCTCAGTACCCAGCATGGAGTATGGAGGAGGCTCGCGGACCATCCCTACGATCCCCGATGCATCACCGCAGGAGCCCATGACTGCGACGCTCTCGGCACCAGCCAGGGTCAGTTACTTTGAAGACGTGCCGCAACCGGAGCCGATGCCTCCAGCCGTGTCCCAGGGTTGGACGACAGTAACACCACTGAACTACAACGCGCCAGCGGCCCAGCCACCCTCGCCCCAGATGTCCCCGGTATCGAGCACGGCCAGCCCGTCCCGATATGTCCCCGGCAACGCCTTTTCGCAACGAGCTCATGCCACGTCGCCGATCCATCGAATGCCCGTGCCGGGAATGCCTGAAATGAAGAGAAACTTGCAGACGCCAAACGGGTCTTCTCCACCCAGGTGATTTGCTAGAGAAACATGGAGAGATGATACGATTACAACCAGCCAGCCAGCCAGAGTCTGGCACCAAACCTGACCCAAATCTAATGAACATACAAACCAAAGCTCTGCTGCATATGGTCGATCATCCAGGATGGAACTATGATTTCTTCCGCCGACATGGTCGATCACGCACGGCAAGCTCTTTTTCCAGGTATGGGAATCTGATCTAGATGATATCAGTGGCTCATGCTACTTTGTCAATGAATCGAGAAGATAGAATAGGATAGAGTTTAGTCGCCATTGGGCGCTTCTCAATCACAAGAAGAGACTAGACGTCTTTGGTAATTCAGACATTGAAAATGGTCATTTTAGGATGAGTCGACGTAGAAGTACAGGAGTTGTGTCTAACTAACTAACTATTCCGATACCTGCCAGCCTTTTAGTCTGCCAGCCAGCCAGCCAGGGGGGGGAGTGTTGAGGTGAGGTGAGGTGAGGTGAGGTGAGGAGGAGATGGAGCCCATAACCTGTATACCCACAACCATAACATGTTGGGATCTGCATGCCTGCATGCCAGAGTACCAGAGTGCGCCGCATTGTTGCTGTATTTCAATCTCAATATCTCACAAAGACGCCCGCAACCAGCCTGGATCGACTGCTTCCACTTCCACTCCCACTCCCGCTCGCGCTCCCACTACCACTACCACTGCCACCCGCACTGCCGCCACTATTGTTGCCGCCGCCTCCGCTACCGCTTCCACTCCCACCGCCAGTACCACTCCCACCGGAACTCGAAACCCGATCCTTCCTCTTCTCCTCGCCCTTTGCCTCCTCGGAGCCTTGCCGCGGCGTACTCGCTGAACTGGAGGGACTCGTTCTCGACATGAACATGTCTGGTCCGGGCCGTTGATTTCCTCCAGGCGACGAGGTCGTGCTCGACGAAGAACGGTGGTAATAACTCATCTCTTTCTCTGGGTCTGGGTCTGGGTCTGGGTCTTTGCCTTTGTCTTTGGAGGGCTTCTCGGGGCTGTTGCGTGAGATGTCTTGCTCTTGCTCGTCTCTTGCGGAGGTGTATGGAGAAGTAGTGGGATGTGCAGGGCTTCTTCCTCGGTCAAGGTCGAAGCTGATTGATAGGTGTTCGTCGAGGGGACTGGTGCCTCTTGTTGGTGATGGTGACGGTGATTCTTGTACGTGCTCTGCTGTTGTGGTTGTAGACGTAGATGTATTCGAGGGCTTCTTGTCCATAGTCATTCAACCCAGACAAGGAGGTATTCCAGACGGGTTTTGTAGAGATCTCTCAACGGAGAGAGATTCTATGTCTAATCCCAATCCCGGTTCCGGTCCCAGCAAACAGCAATAACGAAAACGATGATGCCTTACGACATGCATGCATGCACGCAGGTGCCAGTGCCAGTGCCACGGCCACAGCCCCTTAGTATCAAAGGCCTGACTGGTCCTCAATAGTCAGGACACGCATTCGACCCTTGTTTGGTGGTATATGTCAGGGACACCAGGGACACAGCCTCGTTTCGTTTCGTTTCGATGCAGCAAAAGTACAGCGCTGCTCGAGGTCGTCGTATTTGGGTGCGTATGCGAAATCAGGAGAGTATTTGAGAATTGAGGATTGAGGAGATGTGGTCGAATCGAGTTTTCAATACCGGGCACAGACAAACACCTATACTATACCTAGTACAGTGTACAGTACCTTGATCAGAGTCTCTCCTTTGCCTTGCCTGGGTGAACTTCTCTCCCGCTCCAAAGTTCCAAAGGCCCCTTTGCCAGAAGGACAGAAGGACCAAGACCATTATAATTATAGCTCAATCGAAGTCTGCAGCACGCACGACACAGCGCAGCATTGAGTATCTTTGGAGGATAGGCAGCGTGTTAGTTCTGGCACTGTCTGGTTAGTGTGTGCTCCCCCCCCCACCCTACCATACCATACACACTTGGCCCTGGTGTGCGTGTGCCTGGATGGATGAACCAATAAACCAATTGGACTCGAGTGGTTTCGGGAATGTCTGGTCACTTGTGAGTCTCTCCCTCGTCGGTCCAAGGCGACGCCGTTCAAGAAGGGGGGGCTAAACAACTCCCTATCGGTTTGTTCACTTGTCCACCTGTCCACTTGTCCCCCTGTCTTCTTTTGACTCGAACCAATCACCTTGGACGAGATTGAATCGGAGATGGAACAGGTACCACAAAGCCAGGGTTTTTTTCCTTCCCAGCGGGATGGGCCATGACGCATGTTTTCTGACTACTCTGATTTACCTAGGTTCTGTGAGGGGAAGTTATGAGTCGAACGTTGATGTTAAAGTTATCCTGCCCGTCATTGCGATGTAACGCCAAACGACGCCCAGTTCTTCGGCATGACACAAGACCAAGATGGAAAAGGGAAGGAAGGACCCTGTTTTTCGCTTCTATTCCCATAGCTCGTCCACAACAGACAAAGCATATCCGCCGGCCCGGGGTTTCGCGACTACTGGGGTGGTCCCTAGTTCTGGTCAAACGCGAGAGATTTTTTTTGTTGTCGTTGGTATTTTCGTTGCCTACTTCCATTCCATACCCTAGCAAATGACCCCTCGTATACGAGTGAAGAATGGAAGCCTTGATCTTGATGCCTAGTAGTCAGATGACCCCCACGGAATGATTTTTCGCCACAGCCACAATCACAATGCATTCCCAGATACTCAGGCGGGCGGGCCCCAGATTGACTTTTCCCAGTCACGATCGATGGAATAATGGATGCAGAAGAAGAGGAGGAGGCCTGAGGGGCGACGGCGACGTCACTTGTTTGATTTCCAATCCCTCCACAATTTTACACAGGCGCAGACACAGGCGCAGACACAGGCGCGACAGGCACACAATGGAAGCTACGAGTTACGAGTTACGAGTCACCTCGAGTCTACGAGTCACTCGTACACTAGTACTATCCTTCCACCAGATGAGATGATGAAGAATTGCGTACAAACAGTGTCTGCCTGTCTGCCTGGTTCGCCCACACTCTTTGCCCCCCCTGGCTTAGTCAGGGCGTTTTCCCTCGTCCTATACCAATTAGAAAGAAAAGACGGGAAACTCCATCCTGCAGGGATTGGGATACACGAGGTTGGACTTGTCGGCACGGCAGATTCACCAGAAGTTATCCGGTTGTTTCCTGCATGCTGCATCCATCCCGCATGCTGCATCCTGCAATGGAAATCGTAGTAAAATAATATGGCCACGTGCCTCTTGAGTCATGGCTCATCCATCAACCCGGTCCCGACTATCTTTCTTGTACCTCCCATACCAGTGTCTGCCTTGCCTTGACCCCCGGCTCAAAAATCGCTCGTTTTCATTTTCGTCTCCAAGTGTGGACCACCTACTGTTGAATTGGGGAAATGGGAGGACCCTCGTGCCTCTCGCGAAACCCCCCTGTCTACGGTTAGCAGGGGTTCAAGGGTTACTAGTTGCCACACACACACACACACACACCTACACACACCTCCAGTTTACATACCTACTTGGTCCAGACTTGTAAGAATATCGAATCGACATCGTGGCATCTTGCGGTCCTGGTCCTGGTCCTGACTGATACCCCACGGGATGCCTTTTTTTCCTTGTCTCCCAACTCTAAACCCTCGTCACCTCGTATTCCTCACTGCCTACCTGCTTGTAACAAGCTACAAAGTACAAGACGAACTGATGGTGGCGACTTAGTTGCATACGAGTCACTCGTATGTACCTTCCGAGGGTGCGAGGCTACCGAGGCACTAAAAGTACAGGCTACAGGCTACAGGCTACAGGCTGCAGACCCTGGACTAAACCACATACCTATGCAACGAGATACCTACATACGTACTTGGTTGAGCCTTATTAAGCGAGCCCAATCCATCCCCCTCTTGAATCTTGATCAATCCTGATCAATCTACCTCCAAGCACTCGATAAGTATCTGGGTAAATCCCCGACTCCACCCGTCCTTGACCTTGTGTGGGAGTTGTGGGACTAATTTCATTTCCAAAAATATATACTCGGTATACTTGTTCCAATGTCCACATCTATGTTTGAGATCCCATTGTACCGAGTACGAGGTCGACGTCGAACTTCGACTTGGAGGTCCTCGCCACTGCCACTACCAATACCACTACCACCGTCTACTCGTAAACCTCGCTTGTTGGTTTGTTCGTTTGTTCGCGTAAAGTGAGGTGAGGTGATGGATGTGGTATGAGGCGTAGGTGACCAAATACGCAGACATCATATCATACCTAGGTATCATACCAAGTTTATGTACGAGGTATTTGCACTTTGTACTGTAGGTACGCTGGGCTAGCTCGCGCTCTCAAGGGAAAGAAAACGCTGTTGCCTACGTGCCTACCTAGGTATACATAGGCTATCCATCGCCACGTTTACTCGCATGTACTTCTATAGACAAGAGGCAAGAGGCAAACCGACTTCGGGCCTCCCGGGACGAGACGAGACGAGCGTCTCGTTGGCGCCCTACGAGTATTCACTCGCATGATCGTATGGTTCTTCTTCGGCCTAGATCCTCTGCTCTGCTCTGTTCTGCTGTTCTGCTGTTTTGCTACTCTGGCGGAATTTGCCCGTCGCTCGCTTGCTGGGTAGAAAAGACTTTGGAGGGGGGCGAGATATTGGCACAGGTTCAGGTCAATGCAAGGTGTTCGTTCGTGGTTGGTCAGTTACCCGAGTTCAAAGGGCTTCTATACCCAGGTAGGAGTAATAGAGGAGGGGGAGGTAAAGGAGAGGGTGGAAGGGAAAGGTGAGCTATATATATCTACATATCTATCTATCTATCTATCCATCTATACCTGGACTAGGCCGGACCGGACCGGACTGGTGAATGGTCACAAGCGACGAGTGAAGTGAATGCATTGCTCTCCTCTTCAGAAATGGAAATAGAAATGGAAGAAAATGGCCATCCATGGCGAGTGGTGGTGGATGGACCGGTAGATGAAACCAAGCAGGACCATTCGACGACAAGACAGGTCACGTCTCCAAAAATAAGAATAGGAGCTGTCAAAGTATAGCAGAGCATAGCGACTTCGGTCCTTTGATGGGGATGTGAATACACATACATGACAGGGGCTAATTACAGGCAAGCAGGGTAGGTTCCTAGGTAGGGCAAGGCAAGGCAAGGCAGTCAAAATGACGATCATTTCTCTCCCTCTCTCCCTCCCTCCCTCCCTCTCCGTGCCATTTGGGTTTCACGTGCATGAACGCTCGGCGTTTCTTAAAGAGAAGACGAGAAAAGACCAAAGAAACAGGTGGGATACTACGGTACTGTAGCTTGCCTCTCTTCACACCCATCCGAACAACGGCGACCAAGGACAAGCACAAGAACAAGGACATGTCCCCTTTTCGTCATTTGTCATTTGAACCCCTCCCTCTTTTTGCCCATCTGCACGTTCGTGCACGTCCTACAATGGCATTAAAATCCCCGCTTGGCCCACCCCCTTGTCCATCTGTCATTAGAATCCCTTGATTCCCAATTTCTGTCATTGGAATCTCCCCACATCCCGAGTTTCCTCCTTCTGAATTCACCCACCCCCCTTCCACTATATGCAAAACACCATGACTTCTCTACTTTGTGTTGGTCCTCTGTGACGACTGTGTTGTCCCGCCTAGGTCTCTCTATCCTCTCTATATCTGGTGTCCATACACAAATCTACCCAATACTTCATTACTCCGTCAAGATGGTACGAAAAACCCAAACGATAACCCCAAGAAAACCCCTCTCTCTCACTCCCTCCCTCCCTACCCACTTACCTGTCGCTCGTGTCGTCAACTCGTGCATCACACTGTAAGCTCATTGCATGCAAACTTCACTGCTTATCATTAGGTCCTGTACATCTACTCGTAATATCGTAGGAAATTCCCAAAATCCAGCCACGCCAAGTTATGCCATGCCTTGCCATGCCCCGCCATGTCATCGCCATGGAAGTCACTCCCTCTTTCCCGTGTCTAAGCATCTTGTTCTGCCCCCAAATTTCATTTGCTGTTGTCATGCATTCAAGAGCTGCGCACTTGATTCCCCTGATCATGGACGGTAAATCCATTTCGGGTTTCACAAAAGTGTAACCAACGCCACCGCTATGCAGAGAAATGCCAGCCGTCATGATCCAAGTCGTTCAAACAATCTGTCGACAAACAAGAGATACCAAAGGTTCATGTCGCCATAACCACACCATCTTTGCAGTTCGCCTTAGAGCCCCAGGCCTTGAGAACTCAAAAGTTTTCCATGAATGCTCTCCTGACAGTCCACATCCTGGCCCTCTTCCCGTAAATGTACATCGGAATGGCCGTCACCATGCATGCAATCTGAATCCCCCCAATCGCCAAAAAGGTGGTCTTGGGCCCATCATTCTCCAGCCAGCTCGCAAAGAACAGACTAAACACAAGACCGTGAAAGATGTTCTTGCTAAAGTTCAGCGTCACTAGTGCCTCGCCAGCATACTGCCTGTAGCTGTCAACACAAAATGTGATGGACGTTGTACTTCCTAGGGAGCATCCAAAGGAAATCACCCCAAAGAAGAAGGTAGGAACAATCCATGCGTCTCGTTCTTCGACAGACCAGCCAAAGCCCATGAGGCCGATAGTCGTGCTGATAGCGACCGGAATAGCCATTACCAGTCGAAATTCCGGTTCGTAGACACCACCGTTCTTGCGAGCCATGAATCGCACGATGATGTCAGATACCCGTCCCGCCACTGCTGTGCCCAGAATGCCACCGATAAACGGTGAAATGTAGACCAGCCCAGCTTGGAGGGCGTTAAAGTTATACGTCTCCCGGCTTCGGTAGACCTCAGACATGGCCTCTGACAGCACAATCAGCCATCCAATCGACAACGAGTATACCAACGTTGACCAGAGGACGCTCGGATAAGCAAAGAGGATAAAAGGCCGAAGAGCAACGCGAAACCAACTGGCCTTGGACAGCCGGCCGTTCCAGGGTCGAAGAGTTTCGACGTATGTTCTTGGTGGCGCGTGTTTGAGATTGGTCGTGTAACGGACAAGTCTGGGTGAGGGTAGTCCTTCACTAGGGGTACCGGGCAACGTGACAGCTGTGTCAGACCTCACCACATTTGGGTTGGGATCTCTAGATCTATCGTTTCTTGAATCGGGGGTGGAATGGTGCCCGAGATAGTCACCAGTTCCCTCGAGTTCGGCGTAGTAAGGGGAATTGAGGTTATGCAGATGTGGAACAGATGTGTCTGTTTCACCTTGAGGGGCCCTTGAAGGGGTCGACGTTTCCACCATACCACTGTGGGCTCCGTCCCAGGATCTGCTAAAGGAGTGAGGATCTGGCGGGGGCGGCATAGATAGCATAATAGGTTTGACCTTCTTTCTAGGAAGGGCGACGGGTTCTGGTTGTGTAACCAATTCCGCTTCTTCAGTCTTCTCCCCGAGTACTGCCGGGGCATTTAGATCATCTGCCCCATCTGTAGCGGGTGCTGGATTCTTTGGAGGCTTCTCACCAGACTCAGAAAAGTCCTTCACCTCCACTTCGTCCTGTTCGGTTTTCTCTTCGAGCTCGTCCTCAAATCTTGCGTGTGTGTTTTGCTCGTGAAGCCTGTGTTGTCTCGGGGTCATGGCCTTCTCAATAGCCGATTGGAGCGCAGTGCTGTCAACCTGCACATGCCCGGCTGCATTGTCTTTGTTCTGGTGCAAAGGATGAAGAACATTAGACCAACTTCGATGAACTGTTGGTCTCCTTGATTTTGGTCTGGGAGTCCGGTCCCAAAAAGTCTCGGGAACAAAGAAGAAAAGAATAACAAAGCCAAAGCCTCCTATAAGCGCGACGACCCTGTGCATGTTAGCAGGATCATTACTCCCCCAAGAGTAAACTCACCAAAACACCCATCTCCATCCTTTCGCGTTGATGATGACAGCGCTCACCAGGGGTACCAAGTTCTTCCCACCAAGTAGCAACAAGGTATAAATCCCAACACGAAACGCTCTCTCGTGTAGAAAGAAGATTTCTGCAATGGTGGCAGACGGTAGACATTCCACCGGACTCACCGATATTCCCTGGAAAACCCTGGCGGTTGCCAACTGGGCGTAGTTAGGTGCCAGAGCACCCCAAACTGACGTGAGGATGAACATAACTGCTGAACCCAGATAGACAGGTCTCTTTCCGAAGAGAATGGCAGTTGGCGAGAAGACGACACTGCCGACTCCCAGACCCATCATATACAACCCCGTAGTCAAGGCGACCCTTGAATAGCTCACGTCAAACGACTGGGAAACATCGTTGAAGCCAGCGGCCAGAAGAGGCGTCATGCCGCCACCCAACATGCAGTAGAATCCTAGAGAGAGAAGGGCAATGTCGCGCCTCCATGCGGGCCAGTTGAGAGGATCGTTCAACGAGTCATCCGGCTGCGGATCCAAGATGACTTGGCCATCCTTTGTTCTCTTCTGGGATGCCACTGAGAGACGCCTGGGGGACACGGGCTGAGCAGGCATGGACGAACTGCTCCGCCGGCCAGGCTGGTATTCAAGACCAAGGGGTTCATTGCGGTAGGCGGACAGTAGCAGGACGGTTCCTGGGACTTCTTCCGTCTCCTTGTCATTCAATATACCCAATGTCCATTTCTCTATCTTTGGTCTTGCTTTCTCATTGCTGGACGAAAGACTTGACGAAGTCTGGCGTTTGGCGGTGCTTCTTCTCGAAGACCGATCGTCCGAGGAGGGTGTCGTGTTCTGTGGTGGAGTAACATTCTGATCCCGGCGATGGGTAGAACGACCACGTTCGGGGAGGGATTTCGAAGGCATGGTCCAGGAATCGGAGAGAAGGGACGTTCACAGAGATGTCGAGGTACCAATGGACTTTCTAAACACCTCTTCCATTTGAGCCGGGCATTTCAACGACTTGGAACGAGGCACCGGTCGGCACGAGAGTGGGGGAGGTAGGGAGACAAAAGAGACTCGACGATTGATCGATTATAGATAGAAAAGAATAAATCAGGGTCCTACGAGACACACGTCTATAGAAAAGGACTGAGGACAAAGGAGTGGAGGTGTAGTAATAATAATAATAATAATCATAACAATGTGATGCAAGAGGAGGGTTGAAGGGAAGACGGATAGGATCACAGGGATGAAGGTGATCAACAAAAAGTCATCTGGCACATCTCGACGCGACATGGCGACTGCCAGACTGCGCAACCAAGACGGGAACTTGGGATCCTAGAATCTTGGTGATCCTTGGGGGCCTCTTGGGACTTTCTTCAGCAAGCAATCAGAGCACAACAACTGCTTTGCTCAATCATCCTTGGTGCAAAGCTGGTGCAAGTGTTTGTCCCTCATTCAGGCCCATCACGTCACATTGCATGTGCTGGGTTTTGTATATGTGGGATGCCGTGGGAGCGTGCATGACTTGCCATGCGTCTGTGCTCCATACCTGCATACCATTGCCTGCGCCAGCACCTCATGTGCCCAGGCCTTCAAGGGTCGCCGAGAGTCAATAGGGTCAACAGGGTTCTCAGCATGTGGCCTTTACTCGGTACAACACAGTCAGTGTCCCCAGGTGCCCCTCGGTCTGCACACTAATGTGACCAGTTGCTGATCCTGGTCTCCAGTGATTGACCCTTTGTCCCTCCAAACCTGACCTGCTGACCGACCTCGGAAAATCCTTGTTTGATCACCCTGAGCTATCCCAAACATCTCTCGAGCATCTCTTACTACCCCTTTTCGGACCTCTTCCCTGCCGTGTACAGATCTGACTTCCGAACTTCCCAAGCAATTCACATCAGATGACTCAAGTTGCGGTGTAAAGATATAAGATCGTGTTCTAGATAGAGCATAGGCGTGATAGCCTTACTCGCTAATTCTAAAAACTGGCTGGCTGTACAATATGTAGTGTTTAGGTTGAGGTCGCCTCCTTTCCCATACACAGTATTCTTCAATCGAGTATCCAAGCTTTATAGGCATGGAAATGACATTCGGTCCAGTCGAATCGCCCATGGTCCGGCCGGCAATGCTGGGGTCCCCAAGAGTCTAGTAAAGAAAAGGCCAATCCTGCCGATCCGTTCAGTCAACTCCCCACACAAATCTTCTGCTATAAACAAAAAACCATTTCCTCGTGACGTCGTAAAATGGCCGTAGATGAAGTAGGAAATGAGGCTTCCAACACCAAAGACTTCTCCCGTAGACGCACTCGTCATTGCACATTGGCTTGCCCACCAGCTCCCCTGTTGGCGGTTGGCGTCTCGAAGACCCCGTTCTCTATCCATATCGGGCTCGAAAGAGACCCAGTCCCAAAGACGTTTCACTCTCTTTACCGCTGCCACTATCCAAAACTTCCCACATTCGTGGCTTCCACTCTCCGATGATGCCTTTGCCTTCTTTGACCATCTGCAGCCCCCGGCCCATGTCTTGCACCTGTGCTGATCCCATCAGGTTGATGCTGCCAAACAAGTAGCAGAGCCTGGTGTCCTGTAACTTGTCTTTCAATACCTTTGCGCACATCAAATGGACCTCGTCACTGACGCCGTCGATAATGGTTGCTATCACGTCCAATGCGAACTCGATCACCTCTTTTGCCTTGATCTGCTCTTCCCGAGTGCCTTGATGTCCCGTCACCAGAGTCATAGCTGGGTGCGTTGCTATGGATGCCAGTCGTACAAGCAGTTGAAGTTGTTCGTTCTGCGTCTGTTTGACATTGGCCCCATTGGAGCCTGGCGAGATTAATGTCGGACGCTGCAAACACACCATTTGTAGTATGCATCTCAAGTAGCTCAAGCCTACGGGAGGACAAGAGCCACCTCCTATATCTGATGTGTTGGCAACCGGACTGGATGACATGGACACCATTTGAGAATGAGTCATAGTGGTAGAAGACCCGCTAGGTCCCGAAAAGCCTGTCGGGGCTGTCGGGGCTGTCGTGGCCGGAGCGGCAGGGGTAGCCGGAGTGTTGTGCGTGTTACCCAGATACTTGAGATGCTGTGAAAGTCTATCAATTAGGTGCGACAGGAACCCAGGACTCGGGCTGGTCTCTTTCCTGCACACCTGGAACGCCTGCTCAACAATTGAAGACAGCTGCTGTGTATCGTCAGGGAACACCGCTGAGAGTGGACTAGTCACCCTGCCGACCAGCAGCTTCGGCAAGGCATACAAGAACTCATTCTCGACATTGTGGCGGACCTGGTTGGCTACATCAGGTCCAACAATCTGAAACAGTTGTGAGAACCGCTGCCGGTGCCCTGCGTATGGAGAAGGCGGGTTCCGTAGAGTCTGTTTCAATGACTGTGAGAGTACCTCGATCAGGTCTGGTTGATCCAGTCCAGATGCCTTGTCGACAGAGGCTGGGGATGCAAGTCGGAATCGCAATTGGACAAATCGGTGGGAAAAGACGTTGATAGATTCCAGCAGAGCTTGAAGATCAGTCGCATTTAGATCACCATCCGAACAATTCAGTGCGTAACTGAGTGACTTGACGAACCATTTCTTGGCCGGTTCGGCCAAGGAAGATGAGTCTGGCGACCAACTGTTGACAAGCACAACCAGAAGCAGGGAGTCAAAAGTTGGCGACACGCCTTGCAGGCCGGCTTCGCATACGATTTCCAAGGCCGTCAGCGGTTCTTTCAGCGAGTATTCGTGCCACCTAGTCCGAGTCTGGTACGCAGCCCAGTCAAGTGACGTGGAACTGGGAGGGGCGAGAATTTGATATAGGAAGGAAGCGACTGCCAAATTCTTCCGCACTCCGGACTTGTAGCCAGGCGTGGCTTCGAAAATAGTAGCGAATGTGATGCAGCCCGTCGCCACAAGGATTCGAAGAAATGAAGGACCGGATTTCGAGTCGAGGCAAGACATGAGTCGTGACATCCATTTCTGAGTGAGCAGATCTCCTTGGGCCTTACGGCACAATCGAAGCCGGCTGAGAAGTTGGCAGAATGACTGCAAGGTGCGCGGATCATCTTCAAATTTCTGTTGCTTTTCAATGCGATCCACTAAAACCGAGAAGAGGCCATTCATGGTTTGCTCATTCATATTGGTCTCTGACTGCAGGATCGCCTCAAAATCCTCCACAAAGGTGGCACCCGCTTGCTGCAACGACTCCGCGATGCCGTCACTATACGGTGAGCAGGCTGCGACTGCACGCCCACGGTCTCCTCGAACGAGGTCCTGTTGCAGCAATCTGATTGCAGGTGCTTTGACTGGAAAAGCAGTACATAGATCCAAGAGAGTCGAAGTAAGTAGCGGCATCGTCGGTTTCGTAGATCGCCAAGTCATGTAGATTTGACACATCCTTTTTTGCAGGACTTCAAGAGCCCCGATGGCGGAAAAGGAACCTGCATGGAAGTGAACGGTGGCGACGAGAGATGCCACTAGGTCATCCCTTTGTGATACCGAGAGAATGCCGACCACATCTGCAAGGACCGCCTCATCTTCCATGCACTCGAGAATGTGACGGATTACGAAGAACTGTTCTTCATTCAAAACCTTGGACCCAGGCAACATAGGAGTGCTTTGTGCCGATTTTGCCGCTTCGAGAGCTCTTGCTCGTAACCACATAGATATTCTAGTTCGAAGAGTCCATGGCAACGCCGCAAAAGAAGGTTCATGCAGAGTTGGTGGCTCGGACTTCGTGACGAAACTAGCATCTGCCAGCTTTTGCTCAAGATACTCAACACACCGTTCGAAAATGTCCTCTTCTGCGCTGGGATCGAAACCTGCGCGTTCAAGAACCGAATTCCGTAAGTTGATGACGTGGTCTTCTGCTCGGTGCAATGACAGGTCGAGCAGAAACTGAACAGACGCAAAGTCCCTGTATGATTCAACCTTTGCTGTTCGGCCAAAGATAGACTCAGTGTCGATACAGACCGATCCCTTCTCTGGAAGGCCTCTCACCATCAGCCATTGCAAGTATTTGCTAAGCGGAAAGCAATCAGATCGGGAAAACTGTGCAACTAGGTGTCTTAAGCACAAGGTATCAGCGGTCGTCTTGCCCTCCCGAAAAGCGGAAAGAAAATTGAGGATAGGTGTGTCAATGTCACGACCGCCTCGTTGCCACCGCTTGACCAAACGAGTGACCAGATATAAGCGGGTTCTGGACTGTCGGAATCGCGTACATGACCATTCAAGACACGATCGCAGGAGGAGGTCGAAGTCTGTAGAGGTTTCATCTAGTTCTTTTGCAAGGAGAGCGACATTATATGGCACCCTGGCTTTATCGAGAGTTTCGACAATGATTTCGCTAGGGGACCGAACAGACAAGAAGTCTGTCTTATTGAATCCCATTGCTCTCTCGTTGATGCGATTGAGTTCCTCGAGGATCAGCCCTTCGGGACCGATAGTTGTATCAAGGCAAGTTTGAACAATTGGCACACTCTCAGGCCAGCGATCTGGCATCAAGAAGATAGCGGGGCGTGAGAACAATAATTCGCGGACTGCGGCCCGCAGCTTCTGTCTCAATGGACTTATCGATTGGTCTGAGAGGTTGTCGATCGAACGGTACTTATCAATCAGTGCTTGGGCGAGCTTCGCTCCTCGTCTTCGGTATTGGCTCAAGTCTTGCTTGTAAATATGGATTACCATCAGCCAGAAAGGCGTGTGGCTGATGGCTGCTGTAGTGAAGGAGTGCAAAATCCAATCCAAGTAGTGACCCCGGTCCAGCAGGTTCTCTAAATAGAGACGGGTATTCAACCGCAATGCGTATTGAATGTTTGATCTCCAATCAGATGCATTGGCTTGTCCCAGGTAGGTTTCCAAAAATTGCTCGACGTTGAGTGTCCATTCGCGAAGCCACTTGTTTTCGGCACCCAGAGCCACCGCAGGAGTGGTGCCCTTCCTCTTCAAGGTGCGAACCTCATTAGCACAGACGCATTTGGCGAACCATATCGCACGACTCAACGGGACTGAGCTTTGTAAGCATAAATCTAGAAGAGTCTGGCCCTTGATACCCTGGGGGATAGTCCTGCTCAACCGTCTCAAGGGTACGTCCGCATTGGCTAGATCGGCTATCCACGATTTCCGTTTCGCTTCGGTCAAGGTAACGCGGGGAGGCGGCTTAAACGTGGAGACGGAGCTGATAATGCCATGTTGGCTCTTCTGGTTCAAGACGAGAGAAAAGAGAGTAGATAAACTGTCCACGCCAGATTTGTGTTTGAAGGCATTGTAGAGCGGGACTCGCGCGGTGTTGAGTTCCTTTTCAGTGGGGTTTGGAGGTTTGTCAAAATAGCCGTTCTTAACATTGCTGTCGCTTAAGATGTCCTCCGGGTGTTTCCCCGTCCATGGGAAGAACCCGACCGGTCTCTTGAGAACAAATTGAGGCGCGGAGGATGGAACTTGTATTGAATCGGGAGTATTGGGCACAGGGATGTCAACCCGTGATCGGTGCGTCGGAGCGGCTTTGTCTGCAACTTTCGCGACTCGAGCGGTTCGCCAGGGCCGAGGTGGGAGTTCAGGTAGGCCGTCTTCACTCGAGGTATCCTCCTCTTCCTTACTCCGCGAGTTGGCGACTGCCGCTCGTATTGCTGAGGGTCTCACCCAGCGCCAGTACACGGTCTTATTATCGACATGTGGATCGGAGACTTTGTCGGGAAGTGAGGTGTTGTGGTGGTTGGCAACTTGATTTGAGTTAGAGTCAGCTTCGATCTTCCGCCTTTTGATAGGCCTGTCCTCCTCAGTCTCTACAGTCTCCCTTCGTAATGTTGGCGGCTTTCTGTCTAGGGGCGAAAAGATATGACTGGATGCTCTTCCATGGGGCGGTCGATTCGAATCAGTTGAACGTCGCAGTAGGGGAGGCCGCGGTTCGGCCGGAGAGATAGATGTCATGACCAGGGCATCTTGACAAGCCGATGTCTTGTGCCCAGAGCCCAACCAACCTCAGATAGAGGGCGGGCTCAACAATATACAGCGCTCTCTTGAAGAAAAGTGTCTCCGACAACGTAGGCAGGTGAGGGAGGAACGTCGAGGAAGGTAGGCTCAATTAATGGCTCGACGACTCGACGAGTAAGAAGGACGGAGGGGACACGGCGAACTCGAACAGGCGGCGATATGCCGATTGGGTGTGAGAGTATATGCCTATAGCGGACCGTGGTGGAAGATTGTAAATTGGCAACTGTTGTATAAAGAGGAGAAAGAGATTCGTTTAGACAAGGAGGATGGGAGAACCAAGAGGCAAAGGTCGAGGAAGAGAAAGGGTGTGTGGTTCAGACAGGGTTTGGAGATGGTTGACTGGGAAGATGGGGAAAGGCCGCAGAAGCAAGAAGCAGTGCTGGTGGTAGCAACCAGCAGCCGGGCTGGGTGAGTGAGGAAGCCTATCGGCACACTCTGGGGGCACTAGAGGTTGAGAGGCTGCCAACACAGCCAGTCCAGACAGTCCAAGGCCACCTGGTAGCCGGGGGTTCGCGCCAGATGACAGGATAAGGAATTCGTAGGCTCGGGAGGCACCACCGTCCAGGAGGCGAGGCCAGGGCCCATCGAGGGCTTTGCTACCTGAACCACTGGGGTTTGTAGCCACCGAGCCACTGTGACCGGGGCGCACTCGGCAGAATTATCTTACGCCAGGAACCACAATATATTGCGCATTACTGCGCGTTACTGATAGGCCTGGGTCCTTATGCACCCGGAGATATTGCAGGTACTTCGGAAATCGTTCATACTCTTGCGCAGATAATGTTCGGGTCCCGGAAGGTAAAGAAGGCGAGGACTGGATAACTGCCTAGCTGGGTAACGGCGAGTGTCGATTGCGAGCGCAATTACTGCGGCTGACTGAACATAGATGTGAAGGTGCTTAGGTAGTATACTCATCACGGAGGATGGTGTTGATGATCGCTTGCAACGTTGCCCAATTGTCTGGTTGGACTCTCTACTTGCCAAGGGGCTGTCACTCTCCTTCTTCCCTCACTACTCAGCCCACACGCACTATTCGACGCCCCAGCCGCAGGCAACCTTGCCGACCGACCAAACACCATCAACATGGAGTTCCCCTCGATACCCAGCGAGCCAGTACCTCGTGCTTGTACGAGATACATAACTCGGTACAACGAGTCACCACATCACCCCATCCAGCGATGTAGGCCCCGGAGTGATTCCTTATTCCTCTGATCCCACCTCGTCCACGAGTAACGCAACCACAATCTTTCCGACTGGCCAAGTCCACCACTCATGGCCCGCCCCCTGCGCCGACTGCTGCTCGAAGGACTCGTACCGAGCAATCGTTTCGTATCCAGATTCCACATCTGGCTCGGTTCCTTTGAAAGGCTCCAGTCCATCGGAACCCAAATGGCGAATGGCGGGAAGCTGGTAGCGAATATGGCTCGGGGGCCGATGAGAACAAGTACAATCTCAACTTCCGGATAAAGCTTGTGGCGGTAGGGCTCGGAAGCAATGCTTTCCATGTCGCGATTCTCTGACACACAAAGTCGTGTTTTGTCAACTGCTCCGCCCGTGTGAGGGAGCGGGTGCCATTCCGTGGCTACAAGTGGGTTCCACGACGACAATAAGAGTCTTTTCCTTGGTCCCTGGAGTGGCACTTCTACTCGCTTGAGATACTGGGAGATAGCCGTATCTGAGGTTGATCCAGGGCACGATTTTCGCTCAAAGGCTCCGAAACACTGCTTATCAAGACATCTCTTTTCTCTACTTGGTGATAGCGGTCGTGGTGACCTACCAGGAATCTTCCACTTCGTCTTACACGATACCGTTCTCCCATCTACTTGGTCTAGGGATGCAAATAAAAACTCTATCTGGCTGTGCTGAGCTCCCTGTACCATCTCGCTTCGGGCCTCGGGTCACCGTGTCGAGTGTGATCCGGGAGCGGGTCCAGGGGAGGGGAAGCCAGTGTCAAATTCTGGGGTACGGTATGATAGAATCCCGACGATGGTCATCTTTCATCTGGTCATAACGGCTGGAGTGTCCTTTCCCCAAATAATTGCATGTTGATGAGGATAATGTGGTGTTATTCCGTATTGTGTACGGGGTTAGTGATAGTGTAGGTCGGTTGAAGACTGCATCACCGGGATCAGACCCGTAGTCCTATTTCCCCATACGACTTGTCCCACTTATATCGTATCAAGTCGTCTGTAACAAAGGTAGCATCTCGTCATCTGACCTTCTGCTTTCACTCGCTCCCCTCCTACAGGACTGGAGACTTCTGGTCCAGTGTCTCTGTAGGTGCCCTTCAGCAGATGCACTCCTTCGCTTGGTGCGCGAACTGATCCCAATCATACTTCCACAACGACTCCTTTCTACCTCTGACCCGGAGCCTTCTTCAAACGGATTACATGGGACCGGGTCTCGCCGCCCAACTGCTCCCCAAATATCCTTGAACCCTGCGGTCCACGCAGACAGTAAATTATCACTTCCGTTGGTGTTGGCCCGACTTTGGAGAGGAGGGAAGAACTCGACACCGTTAGTGGATGCTCCTATAGGGGCTCCTCGCTTGAGGTCGACGTCTACATTCACGTCTGTTAATGAAGAGGGGAACATCTCGCCACGCTTGGAAGCTAAAGATTGACCCAGGTTTCTTGAAGCTGGTTCGCGGAAGAGCCTGGAAATTTTGGGATTGGCCCACAGGCTTTGCATAGACAACACGTTGCTGGCCGCATGGCTGTTCTTGTTCCTCCATTCCCCCTGAAGGGACTCTCGTCGTGACTGCGACAGAGTCTTCGACAATCGTCGCTCTAATGTCTCTGTCCTAGTGAGATCTTGGCTCCGGAACAGTGAGGCCTGCCCATAGACGTTGGGGAGCTCCCCATCGGAGCTACTCGAAGTAGAATTCTCATCCCAGATAATTTCATACACCACATTGTTCGAAATGTAGCGTGTCGAGCAGCGGCGGATGGGCGCGGCAGACTGATTTGGTGCGGAACACGACAACCGGGGTTCTACCGTGACGATTTCGGTTTGAACAGGTGGAGCAGCGGCGCAGGTCGACGGCCGAATATCTCCTTTGCTTACTGTGGACGCTGTACGTGGCTTCTGCACGACCTGCCTCGTTCGATCTACCTCCGTATTGTCATGGCTGACGACTTCGTCGCATCTGGTGATCGAATTCAAAAACGTCGAGAGCAGTCCACTGCCATGCCGCCTGAACTTGGGTGGTGGGAATGATGTGAGCGACGTCTGTTTACGTGATCTCGTAGTCGTCGCGCGACGCAGCGTGATCATTGCTGGGCTCCGGTCTGAATTGAATCCTATGACGCAGGACGGATCAGCAGTACATGCGTTGACATCGACTGGCACAAGCGTAGCGAGCCCCTGGGTGGACGAAGCTTTGGAAGGAACTGTCCACCGTCGTGTTCTGTGTTGGGGGCTCTGAAGAAGTTCGACAGTTCCGAGATCAAATCGGGGTTGGACCGACGGAAGAGAGAGGGCTTTGCGTAGGCTGTACGAGCGATGCCGGGTGCCAGATCCTCGGTTTCTGCACTGGCGAGACTTCTTTTTGTGACCAGCATTTTCGTTCTGACAGGAGATCTCGTGCTGTCCATGTCGATGGTTCCCACTCCTTTTCATGCTTAAGCTGATATCATCAGGCTTTTCAGGTTTAAAAGGTATGTCCTCGGCACTCTTGTGGGACATAGGAGGAGTTAGAAATTGCTGGTTTTGCAGGCTGTCTGGCGCACTGCTGATTGATGGAAGAGGGCGAGAAGTGACAGACATGGTTTCGAACTGTCAACACACTAACTGATAGTAATAATATGATCGCGCCGCCGATAATAATGACCGGATGAGAACCTCAGTCAGGACGGTAATCCGGCGGGAACATGCGTTCACGTTGGAAAAGAGCCATGGTGTAGAGCGCTCCTTCTGTGTCCACGCTCCTCACCGCAGCCATTTTCGACGTCTCGATTCCAGCCCAAGAGCGTTCGAATTCGTGGCTGCCAGACACAGGGTGCGTCTTCTCTGTCATCCTCCAAGTCGGACAATGTTCGCACTTCCGGGTATGGGCATGAGAAATTAGTAATTCCAGGTTCGTTTGAGCAACTTGTACAAGCAGCGCACTTTAAGTCAGTTGTCAGGTCATCCGTCGTGTGTCGAAAGCTCCGCCGCCCTGGAACACGAGCCCAACTTGCCGTCTGGGCCAATCCAAGTATCTCGCCCACACAGGATCTAGCAGGCTGGACACATCCACAACCAAGCTGTAACCCCAGCCATTTGCCCACCAGTGGTGATCCATGCACCTGAACATGGCAGCCCAGTGAGCGAATATTGCCAGGGCCAAGGGGTTACTCTGCTTCAGACAATGGATGAAGGACAATGGTGCCATGATCAACCAGGAGAATATGTGACCATCCCACTCGACCACAGAACGACATCTCGAGATGTCACGCAACTGCTCCATTTGTTCGAGAAACAGATTCCTCGTTCGCTGAGAGTCATCGCCCTCCCAAAGTGACGATAATTGAGGATCGTCCAGGGCATTGCGGAGCGTGCTAAACGCCTCCTCCACCTCTGGTGAATGCGGAGGCAGATCTTCACTGCGCGGATAGCGCAGCAGCTCCTCAATATCACCTTGAAGCCACTTGTCGGTCTCTCTGATCACCGCATAGATTCCTCTGAGGATCATGATGATTTCAATGAAGTCGGCCGTCGGCGAGTTCAGTGGCAAAGTGATGCCTGGGGACGATTCGCCCCTGCCAAAGTCCAGCTTCACACGATCCAAACCCTCTGGTAATTTTTTTGATGCAAAGGCCCAGATCGTGAGAAGCAGAGAGACCGAGAATAAGGCGATGCCATTGTCCTGAGTAGGATTGCTGACTGCCGGAATGAATCCAGCCAAGGCAGCATTCTGGTGAGCCATGGCTACTTTGGAGTACTCGGCATACGCATCCGATGTCTTGAGCAGCACAGTGGCCTTGTGCAAGGCCGCAGTAGCCATCAAGCCGTGTAAGAGATAATCATGGCGCAAGGCTTCGGCGAAGATGGTATCCCGCCAGACAGTATGGGTGGCGAGCCTCGAGGACATGGTCATGTAGGTTCGAGTAGAGTAATGATGGATGAGTTCCATGTCGAGGATATCAAAGCGTTTGGCGACATTGGTAGAGTCTGTCTCCGTCGCCAACGGAGATGATGCTTTCGGAGTGGATAGTGCTCCAAAGCGTGTCTTCTCGGGATCTGAATGCTGCTGGTCAAGGCTTTTGGGAGTCGATGTATCGTGGGTGGATGTGTTTGCTGGGGGTGTCGGGAACCCTTCGGAACCATTCCCGAGGAACGAACAGGGGATTTGTCGCTTCACACAGCGCTGGCACTGAGGACTTGTCTCGTCACACTGGGCACTTTTGAGTCAGGACCGACAACAAGCAGACAAACAGACAACAGACAGCAGAGACAACGATATCAAGCCAGACTCAGCGACGACTAAGCGAGGAATGGCTTCACTTCCCACTTCCCACCACTCCCACTACCACCAACTACTGCACCAATTATGGATCCCGGGGGAAAGGCAAAAGTCCCGTTGAAACGTCAATCCCCAGGGGTGCACACACTGACCTTGACTCTCCTTGCTTTGCACTGCCGACACCCGTGGTGGGATTTGGTATGCGACCGTCGAGAAGGCATGATAAAGGGCTGCCGGCGGGGTGGTTGCGCTCCTCACCGACGATGTCGCATAGTCCTAGGTGGGTGTTTGAGGACGAAATGAGTTGGGAAGCTGACTTTGAGTGCTTCTTGAGTGTTTTTGGCAGAAACGAAGCCTCGTATCCGCGGCCGGATTCGCTTGGCACCACACACGCCTTTTCTGCCTTTCGTGTTCGGAAAGTCGCGGGCGTCGCGGACTCTGGGGCCCAGCCTCATCCTCACCCAGCAGGAGATGGCGTTTCGCAAGGACGAGGTTCCCTTGGCTTGGGTGCTTGGGGGGTGATCTAAGCGTCCAAGCGTCGTATTTGCTCGGGATTTTTTTGCGAGGAACAATACGTCCATAAGCTCGGCATCAATATAAGGCCGAGGCTCGTGGATACTAGTCGCGTAAGTGGGCAGCGTCATCCTTGCGGCCGGAAAAAGATCAGCCCCATGGCCTACAAGTATGGAGGTACAGCAAACATTAAATAATCAGGTCATTGGTACATGTTATATATTCTATATCTATGTCCCGTCATCTGTACATGCGTTGACAACACTAAGAAAGAAGTTGGCAGGATGAACGAATATATCTTCAAGATTTGCCTTCCACCGTCGCGGGCTGCTCTACGGGTTCGGCAACCGAGTTTTGCCTCTTGAATTTCCTCATGGGCTCGAAATAGAAGCCGGGGTGGAACACGGTCAGGAGAACACATGCAATACCCACCATCCTGGAGCAGGAGGAATGTCATGTCAGTCTGGTATTCGCACATGTCTGGGGAGGGATCGGGAGCCAGGAGCCAAACTCACATTCCATCAAGGATGAGGAACTCGGTCTCAATTCTCATCAGAGGGCCTCCCCAGCCCCCTGCCATCTCGGGTAGACTGTCCATCATCCATGTGTCAGTTTTTTTTGTTTTTTGTTTTTTTGCGTACGGCGGCATTCAGGAGAGACGTACCGGTAGATGCAACGGATGAAGATGGTAGCGAAAGCTAGCCCAATCGCGAAGCAGAAAATTCGGAAATTGCGTGATACCCCGGGCGAGGACAGATGTTTCTCGTACTCGCTGTCCATCGTTGCCTGCGACCTGGCCTTCTTTGCACGCTGGAATCGGATGTAGTAGTCGATCATGAGAAGCCCACAGACACCCATGGTTGCCACCTGGAATGCAATGCCCGCCACGATCAACCCATTACCCGCATCCAGCAATTTGGGATTTCCACCGCGGTCGCCTGCACTGGCTGCCACGCCACCACCAATGGCCTGGAGTATAATAGAGCCAAAATCACAGCCGATGAAGATCCAGGGATAGAGCCTAGGCTTCAGTCTCGAGTTCTCCGCTCCACAGTATATGACCAAATGCTTCAACGTGACGTATATCCCTGCGGCGAGGAAGCTGGGGGCAAGGACCAGACAGCAGATTTGCGTCTTGAAACCAGCACCGCTCCAAGGGTTGTTGTGCATGATGATCCGCCCAATATATCCGACCGCTTCACCGAAACAGCCGATGGTGAGTGCGATCAGGTATGTCCATGTCCGCCGCCACGTTCCAAGACCTAACTGGAACAGCATGCAGAGGCCGAAGAGAGCAATGAAGAACGAGTTGACGCTGAGATTGGGATAGTAGCCATATGTGGTGAGTCCGACGGGGCATTGGGGGGTAATTTCGGTGCAGAAGCGACGGGCCGTGTGGGTGGTCGTATTTGAAGACATTGTTTTGCTCGGGGACTCAGATGGTCGACAGCCGCACCAGCGAAGAATATACCATGTAAAACTGAACGCTTCAGCAGATCGAGAAGAGAAAAAGAAATAGAGAAAGAGACAAAATTCGGTGTGATTATGAAGGGGGCAGTTTTGGGGAAAAGAAGCAAGAGACCTGCAACCGAAGCGCACGACGAGTACTCGTACGGTCAATAGGTTCGGACACTACCTATACGCGTATTCGCCTCGGGGGGTCGAGATAAGTTATCCAGGCTCGAAACATCTCCTCCCATCCCGAGATGGCCCAATGAAGTGACGAATGTTGCATTCCCTAAAGCGCTGCCACGGAGTGCCCAGGTGTATTTTGGTGGGTGGTGGAGCTCGCGAGGGTGCAAAGATTGCGTTTTTGTGGAAGACGTGCCTGTAAGCGAGGTGTGATGGATCGTAGCGCCCAACGTTGTACCCAAGAGTACGAGGTCACGGTGGGCGAACCGGCTTTTCTAGGCGCGATTAGGCAAAGTATACGCCCCGGGTGACCATTGTTCCGGGCCTCACGGGCCTTTGGATGGGGTTTCGTACTCGTAAAATGTCAATTCCCAACACTGCAGTCCTGCGCAAACATATATTAGGTACGCTTAAGACGTCTCATGATGGGGACCGACCTTCAAAATTGCATGACTACAACGGTGCCCCGCCCTCAACCATCCAATGTCATGAACTCATGGGGAATGCAAATTGACAGTAATTGAGTGGCGATGTACGGGCATCCATGTCATCCTACCGCTCGCTTTCCGGTGAGGTACCCATCCACTGTCGAACGCCTTGCCAGTATCGAGTACATATGTACATATTACACACTAGTCTTTAGAAGTCTGGGACACCTGCGCTCGACTCGCCAACTCGCTAGCTTTTGAAGCTCAATTCGTAACCATTACCCTTCTCCAGACTCCTCTTCCACGCTGGTCGTTCGTGACATCGTGCATGCCATTTCTCCACTCTTGGGTACTTCTTGAGATCAACGAAACCAGCTGCCGCGCACATGTCAACGGGGAACGAGAGGATGAAGTCTGCCCGACCAGGGTTGGTGCCCATGTAATATTCTTGGTCACCAAGTTGATCGTCCAGATACTTGAAGAACGCATCAAGTTCTGGTCCAGAGTAGCCTGCATGGAGTTGTTTGTGGACCAGAGATATTAACGGGCGGATGAACAGAGGTGTCAACCTGACGGCCGCAGTCATGATGACTTCCACAATCATCGGAGGGCCAATGCTGGCAGCAGCAAGATTGCACAACTCGTCGTCGCGTATCCAGTCATTCTTCTCGCCATCGCCCTTGAACCTGCCCGTCTTGTCATATTTATCAATCAGGTATTTGGCGATCACCAGTGACTCCACAATAACTCTTCCATCGCCTGTTTCTAGTTGTGGTGCCTTTCCCAATGGATGTGTTTGTTTCAACTCGGGAGGGGCTCGTTGCTTGACGCGTTTATGGAGCTTGATGTCATATGGGATTTCGAGCTCCTCGAGGAGCCACAGGATTCTTTGCGACTGCGAGTCCTGCAAATTGTGAGCAAGGGCAGGAAAGGACAGTTTAGAGTAACCTGACATTCATATGATGGAGCGTTGGCCGGAGTTCTGCCATAATTGTGCCGGACGTTGGAGGACACCTTTGGACAAGTGGTAGTAGAGGGGAGTAGAAAGATGGGAACGATCACAAGGTACATATATGGAGTTACCTAGGTACTCGGGAGTATCTGAATGCATGTTAGTAGTACCACAGGGTGCCTGAACCACAACCGAGTATAGCTGGGGCTTGAATTTGAGCTATTTATTGGCCATGTGTGCTTTATACGAGTACGTGTACGGGGACTGAGTAGTTAGTAGTGGTCGATACAATTCTGTTGTTGATCATCATGGAAATGGTAAAGCTCTTTTATTTATCCGCAGACGGAAAATGCGGCCTTGTGTGCATAGTGCGAGCGTACTTCGTATTTGTCACTTGTCGGTGGGTGCCTCGGGCTTCGTATCCGCCCTTTAGGGATCGTGGGCTGTCGAACAGTCGAGCACAGCAGGTCGCGTATTGGTGAGTGAATAACCGGAAGTCTGCTCACTGACCCTGACCGGCTCTGCTATCGATGCGAACTCGAATACATGACATCACAGCATGAAGACTCACGAAGCTGAAGGACGCTCCCTTCTTCTAAGTCCGTAGAAAGTTGCGTTCACAACTTCGTAGCATTCACCTCCAAGGCACCTCTTACAGATCAACAACCCTAAAGAGGACCAAAGTACCTAGGTCTATCAGTTGGCTGGTTGAACTTTGTTTCTTCCTTACAAAGGGCAGAACTTGGAGGCGGATCCAGAAGTGTGTGGGAGTTCTAGTACTTGTAGGTCGGAGAAGCGGACAAGGCTGGTTTAAAGCGGCAGGATCCGTATAAACTTTCAATGTATGTGCCTGCGAGGCTTGGGTTGGGGACATTCTGTCAAAACCACCACGGGCTCACGTCCCTTGACACCTCTACGATTCTCCCTGATGAACTGCCTTGCGCCGCTTACGACGACAATGAATTGATGATATGGAATATTGCATTCGGTTTCCTTCCGGCCCAGTTCAATTTTTGACCGCACCCTGATCGTCCGAGCCAGCACCCTTGTGTGCGCCCCCCAAATATCCTCACATATTGACTATTTGATGCCGCGATGCGCCTAGACGTCAAGAGACAACTCTTTGCTCGTTAGTCTCACTATCACGACTCTCAGTGCCAATACTAACCTGGTCAAGGCTCGGAGCGAGTGAAGGGGATCGATTTCCATAGGCAAGTACTAAATTCCCACGAGAATCCAGGGTTCTAACAGTTACGCAGTACCGAGCCATGGGTATAACTTTCCTGGACACCTCCCTCTTAAATCCAGGCACTGACGATTCAAGATCCTCACAACTTTGTACAATGGCCATGCTCACATTTGGTCCTACGAAACACAATCGATCATCAAAACCTTTGAGCTCACCGATGTGCCTGTGAGAGCAGGGAGATTCATTGAAAGAAAGAACTGGATAGTATGTGGCAGCGATGACTTCCAACTCCGAGTGGTCAACTGGAATACAAGTGAAAAGGTCAAATCGTTTGAGGCGTAAGTGGCTCGTGACCTCTAAGACATCGAATAGGTGGACTTACAATGACGGGTGTAGGCACCCAGACTATATCCGCGCAATTGTCGTGCATCCTGTCCTGAGTGTCGTCCTGACAGCCTCAGATGACATGACGATTCGCATGTTTGACTGGGAAAAGGACTGGCGGTGTGTGCGTGAGTTTGTTGGACATCAACATTATGTGATGGGTCTTGCCATCAACCCGAAGGATACCAATGTCTTTGCATCAGCATGCTTGGATCGCACTATCAAGGTCTGGAGCATCGACAATACCACCGCTAAGCAGACGATCGAGGCACACGAAAAAGGTGTGAATCACGTCGACTACTACCCACATAGCGACAAGCCTTATTTACTCAGCACTTCCGATGACAAGACGGTCAAAGTATGGGATTATACCACCAAGGCTCTCATCGCAACACTCGAAGGACACACTAGTAATGTCAGCTTCGCCTGCTATCACCCTGAATTACCAGTCATCATCTCCGGCTCAGAAGACGGGACCATCAAGATATGGCACGCCAATACGTATCGGTTAGAGCAATCATTGAGCTATGGCCTGGAGAGGGCTTGGTGTGTTTCGTACCAAAGAGGAAAACAAGGCGTCGCAATGGGCTTTGATGATGGTGCCGTTGTGGTGAAAATGGGCAGAGAGGAACCAGCCGTGTCCATGGATGGAACGGGGAAACTCGTTTGGGCGCGACACAACGAGGTAGTATCTGCTATCATCAAAGGGGGAGATGCGACGCTCAAAGATGGCGCACCTATTGCTCTTCCGAGCAAGGAGATGGGCACCACAGAAATGTGAGCATTACCCTCAAATACGAGGCGAAAATACTGATGAGAGATGCAGCTATCCAACCACACTATCTCATTCACCCAACGGGAGGTTTGTCAGCGTCTGCGGTGACGGAGAGTTCATCATTGTAAGCATCGTGGCGTTTCTTTTGCGAAGACGATCCTTCTGACAACCGCGCAGTACACAGCGTTGGCGTGGAGAAATCAGGCTTTCGGCTCAGCACTTGATTTTGCATGGTAGAGTGGGCTCAACCTGAGATGCGATGATCTGCTAATATTGGTCCAAGGGCATCACATCAGAATCCAACCGATTATGCGATCCGAGAATCTAGCACCAGCGTCAAGATTTTCAAGAAATTGAAAGAAAGCGGAAGTCTCGATGTCGGCTTTCAAGCTGAAGGCCTCTGTGGCGGTGCTCTACTCGGTGTCAAGGGACAAGGGGGAATTGGCATGTTTGACTGGGAGACCGGTACTCTCGTCCGGAGAATCGAGGTCGAGCCTACTGAGGTAAGAATCATCAGTTTATGGATGTGACTGTGGCTGACAGATTCCGGGCAGGTTTACTGGAGCGAGTCCGGCGAACTAGTGGCCCTTGCCTGCTCCGACACCACCTACGTCCTCCGTTTCGATCGCGAAGCCTACCTTGATGGCCTCAACAACGGCCACGCAGATGAGGACGGCGTCGAGGCCGCCTTTTCCGTGGTGACCGATTTGCAAGAATCTGTAAAATCCGGCGAATGGGTTGGCGATGCTTTCATATTCACCACGAGCACTCGTCTGAGTTACCTCCTAGGCGAACAAGTCGTGAACATCGCCCAGTTCGACCAGCCAATGTACCTGCTACGGTATCTGCAACGTGATGAGCGCGTCTACCTCTGCGACAAGGACGTCGGCGTCGTCTCCTACAGCCTCTCTACTGCACTCCTCTCCTATCAGACCCTCGTCCTGCGAGACGAACTCGACGCCGCGCAAGAACTCCTTCCTGATATCCCGCAAGATCAAATGAACAAGATTGCACGTTTCCTCGAAGCACAGGGCCACAAGGAGCTCGCACTAGAAGTCGCCACTGATCCTGAGCATCGCTTTGAATTAGCACTGGGATTGAACAATCTCGCGATTGCGTTGGAGATTGCGAGGGAATCAGATACCCAAGCACGGTGGGCTTCTGTTGCTGACAAAGCCCTAGAAGCTTGGGACGTGAAACTTGCGGAAGAGTGTTTTACTCACGCAAAAGACCTTGGTTCTCTGCTGCTCTTGTACACAAGCTCTGGCAACAAGGAAGGACTACTCAAACTTGCGAAGCTGGCAGAAGAATCGGGTGCCAACAACGTCGCATTTGCTGCCCTGTGGTCCACAGGCGATGTGGTAAGTTGCATTGACCTTCTGAAGCGAACGGGAAGGATCAGTGAGGCGGTGCTGTTCAGCCAGACGTACAAGCCGAGCTTGACTCAAGGGTTGGCGGTGGAGTGGAAAGACGGACTGGAGAAACAAGGAAAGGGCAAAGTCGCAAGGCTCCTGGGCATCCCCGGAAAGGGCCAGGACGAAGAGTTGTTCCCCGAGTGGGATGAATATATCAAGCTAGAGGAGGAGGTTGAAAGTGAAAACGGCCCATCAGCATCTACCAAGGCACAAGCCGACCTTCTTGAGTTGAACGGCGGTGCCGAGAAGGAGCACGAGTCAGATGAGGCTGTGGAAACAAATGGGGCAGCTGAGGCGGATGGAGACGAGGAATGATAGCGCTGCTTGAGGAACCAGCCAGATAAACTACGAGTGCAAGGAGTTTCGAGAGCTTCGGCCTACGGACGGCGTGCTGATAGACACGAGGCTGTATCGATCGGAGCAGGAAAAGGATTTGCACCAGGACCCCGGACATCCATGATTGGTGTTCGAAGAGCTTAGGAGGGATTGTGACACCAGCCCTCATGTGCAAAACAAATCATCCAAGACATTGGTTCATGGTTGGTTTCTGTCCATTTTATCCCCTTGCATCACAATGGCAATTGCACCACCCCAACCAAGGCTACATGTAGGTATTTACCAGGCAGATGCCATCCTATGTGCTCGGTATAGCCTGGCCATCGTCACACTGTACGCTCAAACACTGTACACCGTCAACCATACGCTCGAAACACAAAAAACCAATACCCATATAGTCTCCCTTCGGTGACTTCTCTGTTCGTACAAGTTTTGAGACTGAACATTGGACTCTGACGTTCCTTCTACCGTACTCTCTCTTCCCAGCCACCCAAAATCCCGTGAGGCTGAGCTCTGTTTGACCTTTCCGGGCGGGGTCCAACTGAGCATGCCCGACCTCGCTTCAGAGTCGTAGGACGTACGCACGCTATCCTTCTCCTGGTAGGCGGTTCGGGTCAAGTCGGTCATGTCAGACGCCATCGAAAAGTCACGATGAGCGTACATTGCCCTTGACGCCCGTCACATGGGCGACCTGATGCCAGTGGTCGACTCGCCCTCCAAGCGAGTGGGGTACCAGGAAGTAGAGCTTGTGAGGGTCCTCTAGGCCCTGGAACTCGTAGTCTCCCAACGGCCGGATCTCGAATTGCTGGTGCGTGAGCTTCTTCTGGTCGCGCCGGCTGCGCAGACTGCGTAGGTTGAGAGAAGGTGCCGGTGTTGTGCTTGGTCCGTCGGCGGAGCGGCCGTCATCTCCAGTACTATCCGCCGGGACTGGATCATGTGAATCGCTCTGCTGCTGCTCTTTGGCGATTTCCAACTCGCTCTGTAGCTGACGGAGGAATTCCTCAGACACGACAATCTGGCCGCCCTCGGTGACCTGGATGAACCGCGCCGCCCGATTGACAACCGGGCCTAAGTAATCCATGCGTTGAATCACCTCGTTCCACTTGCTCACAGTCTCCCCCCAGTGCGCGCTCATCCTCAACTGCAAACCGCGGAAAAGAACGTGGCCTTCCGGGTCCTTTGTCTCTTGGCCAGGCGGCAGCTTGAGGATCTCCTTCGGCCAGTGCTCGTCCAGGAGCTTCTCCTGCACGTCGAGGCAGAACTGGACGGCCGACGTGGCGGACGCAAAGGCGATCATGAAGCCGTCGCCATTTTGCTTGACCTCGTAGCCCTGGTTGGCGACAGTGAGGGCTCTGATCATGTCGTCGTGCAGTTTCATGGCCTCGGTCATGGCCTCCGTGTCCTTTTCCCAGATGTTTGTCGACTTGACGATGTCGGTGAAGACGATTCCGATCTGCCCTAGAGGCGGAGGTGTGTCTCGGGCGGGGTTCCCCTCCTCGCTGCTGACCATAACAGCCGCCTGTGCTGGGGTTCTGGCGACATTGCTACTCCTCATCAAAGTAGTGGTGCGTGTTGAAAAACAGGCAGTGCTGCGTACGCGAACTCGAATTTTACGCGTCGCAGAATACGCGCCTGTGATGCTCAGAGCGCCTCCCAACGGAGGTACTCCTGCTACACACGGGGTGGATAGGGATACATGGTTGGACCGAGATAATGTTGTTGATTTGAGGATGATTGTCTGGGCTCGTCTCAGCTCACCAAGCCCAAATCTAGGCATCCGGTTCGGCGGATCTCTGCAGCTCGCCTAGCAGCAGTCTGCAGCAAAATTGTCTAGCCGTCTGACGAAAGTCATGGGGGTTGAAGGGAAAGGAATGGGCACAGCTTTGTTTGGAATCGAGATCTTGCTCAGGTTTGCCACTTTACTCAAGATAATCTCGAAGAACCGTAATTAATCTTCTCTTGCCTGTGCCCGGTTCAGGGCTCAGCTGGTTACGAAGGTGGCGCACTTAGTTCAGATGAGCAGCCCCCTTTGCAAGCTTGCCGAACTTGGAGATTCTCGAGTGCTTCTGTGGGGGCGATTGTCGCTGACGCCAAAAGCTTCGATTCGAGGACTGGAAGCTCCTTATTGGACATCGCTTGCTTGTGTGGGCAGTGGGGGCGGACTACATTCGATGGAATATAACCTGTGAGGACGAGGCATCGTTGTCTAGGTACAGATTCGCAGAGAGCAGACTTGGCTCGGGTTAGATGATTGTTGATTCTGTGCGAGGAATGTGAATACCTGCGGCTGGCAATCTGCACTCTTCCATACTTTGGAGCTTCGACCGACCTGCCTGACCAGGTGGCTGTCCCGCTCACATTCAAAAGTACTTCACCTCTCCCGCCAAGCAACATCACCATATCACTACAGAGGAAATTCCAGTAATATCATTTACACTCTCTAAATTCCTGTCAACATAGCCCACTAGAGAAAGAAGTCAAACACATTAAGCAAATAAGACCCCGGTTGACTTCGGGCTATGGAACAAAGGGAAAAGTTCCAACAGGGTCAGGAGGGCGGGGCCTTTCTATATACATGGCATGCTATACCGGGGTCTAGCCATGTCTCCCAGATCCCCTGTGGGGTGTTAGGGGGTGCGGAATTCAACGCATCCTCTAACATCCCACAGGGGGTCTGGAGAGGAGAGGTAAAGTGGAACTTGCTTGGCCTGTTGGAACTTTTTTGCTCCCGAAGTTGAAGAAGGGTGGGTGTGGAAAGGCTGAAAGGATCGATGGATGTACGATGTTCGATTCTCAAAGCTGGTGGTCAATAATTCTTTTTCTCGATCGGTATTCTTCACTGTGTGTGGTGTGTGAACTTCCAACTTCTCGACAGCGCGATGCCGTGCGCTATCGGGGAGTCAATACATCACTGGCTAAGTATGATTCCAGGCCAACTAGGCAAGTCCCCCGACTAGGGCGAGATGTCCGTTTTATTCCATCATCTGCTCCGAGGCATTCGAGCTCGCCAGGGTTGCATGTTACCATCATGGTTGATGGATTGATAGCCTCATGGGCCCAAAGCCTTATTCATGGCAATGCAGTCACCGTATGTCTCTTCGGTGGTGACTCCCCCGGATTGTCCTGGCTCATTCCCATCATCAGGTCGGGTCCTATAAGTCAACACCGTGTCAGAATGCGTTCATCGAGTGGCGTGTCACAGTCCAGTTGTTTCTTGATCCATCTCCTTGAGCATCCGTGGATGAGGCATTCGTCGAACTCATCATTTCTTGCCAAGCACTCCTAACAGGTCAAACCCACCACCATATTGATCTGTCGATATCGCAGCAGGTTGTGATACAATCCTGAGAAAATCAGCTGAGGACCATGTAGTAGAAATGCTGGGGGCGAATAACTCGAACATTACAAGAACGCACCAGTCGACAGGTCCGAATTAGGATATGGTAGCGGTGGTGGGAAATGCCCAGTGTGATGTCTTGTTACACTGGGGCACCTGCGCCAGCCAATCAGCGGCCTCGCGAAGTCATCCTTGACCTCCGATGTCGGTTCCCCCGCCATCCACCATCTCCCCAAACACTTTTTCGCTTATAATCTTGTGCCCTGCTATTCGAAGGTTCATCCTAACATTGCATTCCAAAATCTTGAGTCTTTTGTTCAAGGAAGTGATCGTTGCCGACTCTGTCAAGATGCCTTCAATTCAGTCATCCCCCAGGACTCTGTATGACAAAGTCTTTCAAGACCATGTCGTCAACCAACAGCCAGATGGCACCGTCCTTCTGTATATCGGTATGCTACACCCTCCACCGCCTGGAAACTGCTTTGAGTCATAAAGGCATTAACATCACCTACAGACAGACATCTTGTCCACGAAGTCACATCTCCCCAAGCATTCGAAGGTCTGAAGAACGCTAAGCGGAAAGTGCGCCGACCAGATTGCACGCTGGCCACAACCGACCATAACGTCCCCACAACTCCACGGAAGAATTTCAAGAACGTAGCAGACTTTGTCAAGGAAGAAGATAGCAAACTACAGTGCACAACCCTCGAAGACAATGTCCAGGAGTTCGGGCTCACATATTTCGGCCTGGGGGACAAGAATCAAGGTATCGTGCATGTCATCGGTCCGGAACAGGGCTTCACATTGCCCGGCACAACGGTCGTCTGTGGCGACAGCCACACCTCGACCCATGGCGCTTTCGGTGCGCTGGCCTTTGGCATCGGTACCAGTGAGGTCGAACACGTCCTGGCCACCCAATGCTTGATCACAAAGAAGAGCAAGAACATGCGGATACAAGTCGACGGTCAGTTGGCACCGGGAGTCAGCAGCAAAGACATTATCCTGCATATAATTGGCGTCATCGGCACTGCTGGCGGTACAGGTGCCGTCATCGAGTTCTGCGGCTCTGCCATTCGAGGTCTTAGCATGGAAGCTCGAATGTCCATCTGCAACATGTCTATCGAAGGAGGAGCTAGAGCTGGCATGATCGCTCCCGATCAGATCACCTTCGACTACCTCAAGGGACGTCCTCTGGCCCCCAAGGTCGACAGCAATGAGTGGAAGAAGGCGACCAACTACTGGTCCAGCCTGAGGTCGGACGAAGGTGCCAAATACGATATTGAGATCTTCATCGACGCCAAGGACATCGCCCCAACAGTCTCTTGGGGCACGTCGCCACAGGATGTTGTTCCCATTACTGGCGTCGTGCCGGGCCCCGATGATTTTGAGGACCCCAACCGGAAAGCCAGCTGTAAACGAGCCCTTGAATACATGGGCCTCACCGCTGGTACTAAAATGGAAGATATCGAGGTGGACAAGGTCTTCATTGGCTCATGCACAAATTCCCGCATCGAAGATATTCGTGCTGCCGCCAGGATCGTGGAGGGCAAGAAAGTCGCACCCAACATCAAGCGTGCCATGGTCGTGCCGGGCTCTGGCAACATCAAGGCCCAAGCCGAGAGCGAAGGCCTTGACAAGATTTTCCTGGATGCCGGCTTTGAATGGCGGGAAGCTGGCTGTTCAATGTGCCTGGGCATGAACCCTGATATCCTGTCACCGAGAGAACGATGTGCTAGCACTTCGAATCGCAACTTTGAAGGACGACAAGGTGCTCTAGGTCGCACGCATCTCGTCTCGCCTGTCATGGCGGCGGTAGCGGCGATTGTGGGCAAATTGGCCGATGTGCGCAAATACAGTGACAATGCGACTCCCGCTAAAGCAGACCCCAAACTCGACGTAATGCCCGAGTATGCAGAGGTTGACTCCGAAGAAGAGCTTGACCGCATCCTCGATATCCCCACGGACGCAACCAGCACGGCCACTAACCATGTTGAGGCATCTGGAGCGTCCGGGGGACTTCCCAAATTCACGGTGCTGAAAGGTATCGCAGCGCCTCTCGAGAAGGCCAACGTGGACACAGACGCCATTATCCCCAAGCAGTTCCTCAAGACCATCAAGCGCACGGGTCTCGGCTCTGCGCTCTTCCACCCCTTGCGGTACAACGAAGACGGCAGCGAAAACCCGTCTTTCGTCCTGAACCAAGAACCCTACCGCAAGGCAAAGATCCTCGTCGTCACCGGCCCCAATTTTGGATGTGGCTCTTCGCGAGAACATGCCCCGTGGGCGCTTTTGGACTTTGGAATCAAGTGTGTCATCGCGCCCAGCTACGCAGACATCTTCTTCAACAACACGTTCAAGAACGGCATGTTGCCGCTCATCATCTCGGACAAGGAGAAACTCAACAAGATCGCCGACGAGGCCCGCGCCGGCCACGAGATCGAAGTCGATCTACCCAACCAGACCATCCGCGACGACAAGGGCAACGAACTCGCCACGTTCGAGGTCGAGGAGTTCCGCAAGCACTGCCTCGTCGAGGGTCTCGACGACATCGGCTTGACCATGCAGATGGAGGACAAGATTGCCCAGTTCGAGGCCAAGAGGACCTTGGACACGCCGTGGTTGGACGGCAGCGGGTACTTGAAGAAGTGGCGCAAGGGCCCCGTCAAGGTCGAGGCCGCGCCCGTGCCCAAGACGAATAGGGGCGATGTCAAGACCGACCCTGTCGAATGGTGAGGGACCTCTAGACAGATGCTATATGGGATATGGAATATGGACCATGGGTGTCCGAGACACTCGTCCAAGGAACGATGAAAGAACGAGGGAAAAAGTCTGTTCGGTCGAATGAATCAAAACACAATCGAGAGGAATAAATGCACGGATGCATAACTGGAATGAATGAATATTCTCATACATACTATGAAAGTTTTTTTGGGGGATCTAGTGTGCGAAATCCTTTTGAAAATTTTATTCATCTCCATAAATTTTTTGCATCGTGTGTTTTTGGTTTTTTTTTGGACCATGTACTTGACGACGTGACTACCTAACCAAGGAACCAAGTAGTCGAGCAACCAAGCAAGCCAAGGTACTCTTTTATTGAGGTTAAAAGTTCAGAAAGGATGGGAGACGCATGTTCGCTCGCTGTGGATGACAACAGCCCATGGATATGTCATTTC